GGGGCTCGATCCCAGGACCCTGGGATCATGACCTGAGCCGAAGGCAGACGCTTAACGACTGAGCCACCCAGGCGCCCCTGTGGTCTGGGATTTTGCCAGACCAGATGGGAAGTGGGCTGAGAGTCAGCCAAGGGACCAGGGTGGAGTGAGAGGAAGGGGCTACAGTGCCCTTTCCCTGGGTTGGGCCTGGCAGGCCTGGGACACTGCTCACGGTGGCCGGGGCTTACGCTTGAACTGGCATCATCTGTGCTCTTCGCCCCATCAGATCCCCATGGACAGGTGCACAAGGACCATCCCTGATAGCAAGATGCTAGCTAGCATTTGGGGTCCATCTTTCTGTAGCAGCTCAGGCCCACCCCCGGGACAAGCACAGATGTGCCCCAGACAGTGTCCTTGCAAGCCTAGTCTCATCGTCTGGGGAGTGTGCCACTCTTTTGGCCCTACCTCGCCTTTGGTCTTTGCTCAGCTGGTTGTGAAGGTTAGAACCAGGTGAGGTCAGCCTACCTGAGGTCCTTGTTCAACACCTTTGGGTGACAGGCATCATCAGCCGAGTGCCTGCTGAGACAGGTGGGGTGTGGACCTCCCAGGCGGCTGGCCCTCCAGCCCCCTCTCCCTGTCTCTAACACAGCTGCTTCTGCACACACACAGATGCGTCGTTTGGAACGCCACCTGGGTACAGCTGTGCTGCGGACCGGGCTGAGGAGCAGCGCCGGCACCAGGATGGGCTGCCCTACATCGATGACTCGCCCTCTTCCTCACCCCACCTTGGCAGCAAGGGCAGGGGCAGTCGGGACGCGCTGGTCTCGGGAGCCCTGGAGTCCACCAAAGTGGTGAGTCCCAGGGTGGTAGGGCCAGGTGTGAAAGGGGGCTTGGGCTTGGCTCTGGCCTGCTGTCCCTTTCGTGAAGGCGCCCTGAAGCACATCCACTCTCTCAGGGGTAAGTAGCAAGTAGGTGATACCAGGAGCAACCAGTGGTTGAAGTCACCAAAACGCCTTCGTCATTCCCCCATCTGGTGTGCACCTGCTGGTCTGGAGACAGCCTTCTAGGTGCTTGGAGCAGGGAGATGATGGAACCGCCCGCTGAGCGTGGAGGAGGCAGGTAGCACATGCTGAGGCTGAGAATGCCACCACCAGCCTACCAGCTGGACATGGTGGCGGCCCCCGCAGTGGTGCTGAGGGGCGGAGGAGGGGGCAGTGTCTGGGCTTCTGTCCCTGCACTGCACGCAATGCACTTGCTCCTTCATAGCAGAAGGGGTGCTGCTGATGACTCCATCCCTTTGACCAGGGTCTTCCCCTTGAAGTCTCATTGTCATTAACAATCCTGCTGTCACCTCCACTTTGGAGCATGACAGATACCTTCCCTCTTTTGCTTGTTTCTGGTGATGTTCCCTCCAGGTTTAAAACAGAGGTGCTTGCTTTTCTCCATTGTTGGTAGGAAGTGCGGGAAGTATATCTTTTCGCTGCGGTTTCTTCTCTGCTGGGCTGGTGCCTTCGCTACGGGATTGCTTCTTATTTATGCTTTTGTGATTTCTGAAGACCCTGGTGCTGGGCAGGCTTCTCGTTCTGAAATGTGAGGTTGGGAGGGAAGCCCGTGTGTAACACATACACATACCTGCCTCATGCAACTTTTTTTTTTTAAGATTTTATTTATTTGAGAACTAGAAACAGAGAGCACAAGTGGTGCAAGGGGCAGAGGGAGAGCGAGAAGCAGACTCCCTGCTGAGAGGGGAGCCCAATCCCGGGACCCTGAGATCATGACCTGAGCCCAAGGCAGACGCTTAACCGACTGAGCCACCTAGGCGTCCCCCTTGTGCAGCTTTTTTTCCAACATCTGGTTTTGCTGTTTTGCAGATTAGGAAACAGGTTCAGAGAGGTGAAGTTACTTGCTCAAAGCCACACAGCTACCAGATTTGAAGCCTTCCTGAGTCCTCAGATGGCACTCTTTTAACTACCTTGCCTTTCTCAGTGCACTCCCTTGCTTCCTGCTTCACAAGCATGATCTGGTACAGATGGGGATCTTTCTGATCCTGAATAATAGGCTGAGGCCTGAACTTGGGACAGGTCTGCTCCAGGAGGCTGATCCGTCCTCCCCGTGCAGGAGCCCCCCCAGCTCGGGTCCTTATGCAGAGGCCGGCCCCTGGCCCTCTGCTGTCTGGGCTCCGGGATGATGGCCAGCCCTGTTGCCAGTGAAGGCATGGCCCCTGCCCAGAGAGAAAGACAGTGTCCTTTGTCCAGCAAACTGGCTGCCAGCTCCCAGCTGGGAGCAGCCCACCCCTTCACAGCCGGGCTTTTATACTCTGGTCACCCTGGCTCCCCCAGGTTGGGGCTGGAGGTAAAATGCGTTCCCTGCCATCCATAGTTCTGCCACTCGGTTCCAGCTCCCACCCTCGTGGGCCTGGTGGTGGTTCTGTTCCCCTGGGTCCCTCTGTCAGCCTGTACCCCCTTGTCAGGCCCAGTTTGTTTTTATCCACTCTTTCGGCCTCAGGTCTGTGTGGCTTGTTCCCTTCACTACCACTTGCCCCCTCCCCAGCAGAGGCAGGAGGCCTGCCTTCCGGCTGACTGCCTCCTTTTTTCCAGTTGCCCTTCTCTGGCTTCCTCTCCACCAAGATCTCCCTACCACCATGGCCCTGACTGGATTCACGTGCCCTTTCCAGAACTGGCATGTGCGCAAAGCAGGGTTATAAATAGCCCTGGCCCCAGCCCCGCCCTTTGTTCCCTCATCTTCTGCGTCTTTTTCCCACCCTCTCCTTTAAGATGCGGTTGGCTGCTTCTGAGCCGACCCTGTCAGCCCCCAGCCCAGCACATTCCCCGGGCCAGACGATCCCCGGAGCTGGCCGCGCCCTTCGGAACAGGGAGGGCTGGAGTTGGCGCCGTCCTGCCTGCACTCTTTTTCCTCCCAGCTTTCCAGATTGTGTGGGTGGGAATGAGCCGCACCGCCACCCACGTGAGCACCGGCATCTCGTGCTGGGTGGGGCTCTGCCGTGTCCCGGCGCTCACAGTAGCGGGATTGTTCCTCAGGACACGGCAGGGCTGGGTGGGTGGCTGCACCTCCCCGGGGAGCCTGCTGTGCCCTTCACCTTTACATCTTCCCTCGCTTGGGGCACAAATGGCCCCTGGACACGGCGATGGGAAGCACATTCAGGGTCAGCTGAGAGCTTCTCCAGCACGCGGCCACCATTCCTGGTGTGACCTCAGTGGGCTGAGAGGAGAGGAGGCGTCAGGGTCCCCTACCCTGCATGTCTGTGCGCCACATGCCGTAGACTTGCTGACCGTGGTAGCACCCCAGGCCCTGGCACAGGCCAAGCTCACAGCTCTGGATCCTGGCACCAGCTTGTCACACAGACAGGGTTTCCAGAAGGAGCACTCAGAGCTTTGCAAAGACACAGCCAAAAGTAGGGCCCAACCAGGAGTTCTAGATGTATTCGTTGGTTGGTTGGTTCATTGTATCTTCACGGAGCACCTGTGTGTTCCAGGCACTACGCTGGCACAGGAAGTTTCGAACTCAGGCACAGCATGACCTGGAGCTCTCTGCCTGTGGAGCCGCTGCCCAGTGTGCCCTGGGGGAGAGGGGGTTCTATGTGGGGTGGGACCTGAGTGTTCTTTCCCTGGAGTGATGCTTAGCCATGATTGTGGTGGCCGCTCCCTACACACGCATGAGTACACATACACACTTGGGCGTGCACACATGTACCCATATACGCATGCACCTAGCTCATGCACACTAAGAGATTCCCAGAGCAAAGTGGTGGTTCAGGAAGACTTTTTGGATGGTCCCAGTGGGCAGTGAGGATGTGGTACAAGCCCCAGGGACCCAGAAAGCAGAAGCAGATGGGACATGGGGATCGGGCCTTCCTTCCCCAGTTTACACTCAGGCAGCTGATGCTCAGAGCAGGAGGGCAGTTGCCTAAGACCGTGGCACTCACCGGGCAAGCCTGGCTCCGTGGCCCTGTCCCCCAACTCCTGGCCCTGGGTGCTTCCCACCAGACCAGCAATCTATACCATAAAGTGCCTCCCTTCTGCCAGTCCAGGGAAGTGAAAAAGGCAGCAGGGTCGGGGGCACACAGAGGGGCCATGCTGGGGGGTCCTGATTCTAGGCTTTGTAGAGATACCATGAGGCCTGAGCTGGCTTTAGGTCCTTTCTGGAACCCGGTGGTTCTCACGTAGGGGCGACTTGGCCCCAGAGGACATGTAGCAACATCTGCAGACATCTGTGGCTGTCCCAGCCAGGGGTAGGAGGGGGTGTTGCTCCTGGCATCTGTTGGGTGGAGACCAGAAATGCTGCTCAAGGCCTCCGGCATCCAAAAGAGAATCCTCCAGCCCTAGATGTCAGCAGTGCCGAGGGCCAGGAGCCTGCCGCAGATCAGTGATCTCCCCTGAGAGTGGTTCAGCGAAGTGGACCACAGGGATAGCCCTCTGGTTCTACACCCCAGGGCTGTCACAGTGTGGTTGCTCATGTTCACCCACAGGTGGGAAACCAGTGGCAGAATGGGCAGGGGTGTTACACCGCTTTCCTCCGTGGACTGCAGTGGGGCCCATTGGCACATGGGCGGGCCATGGGCACAGCCAATCTCTGATACGGATTCCCTCGCTGGTGGCCAGGGAGCACGTGGGGGGCGTGGCCAGGGAGTCACACCGCAGATTTCACTGCCCTTGTCATCAGCATTTGTGTTAGTTTACGGGGCAGCTGTAACCACAGACCAGGGGGTGGCCTTGCCCTGACTGCTCAGCTTCACGCTGTCCGTTTCCTGTTGTCAGACCAAGGGTGGCCCTCGGCTTTGCTAGATGACCCCCCAGAATTTACAGTGGCTATGAGCAAGTGGTTGACTTGGCGAGGCTCCTGTGCCCCCCTTTATTTCCACACGGAGCCTTCCCCAGAGGCTTGACCTCAGGTTGATAATAAGCAGGCCTTCCTCTCTGAGAAGGGCCACCTCAGGCGTCATCCCCCGGGGCTGACCTTTGTCTGTTTCTCCTGCAGAGTGAGCTGGACTTGGAAAAGGGCTTGGAGATGAGGAAATGGGTCCTGTCTGGAATCCTGGCGAGCGAGGAGACTTACCTGAGCCACCTGGAGGCACTACTGCTGGTGAGGGGGTAGGGGCTGAGCCGGGCAGGGGCACTCTGCTCCCGGCAGGGGGGGGCAGTCCCAGGTCCCAGGGCAGCAGTCCGAAGGCAGCCCACCCTCCCTGGAGAGTCATTCCACCTCTGTAGAAGCTGGACCTCCCCATGGGGTGGTGGACACGAGCGTAAGATGGGTGCCAAACCAAGCTGGCTTAAAATTTTTATTTTTAATGGAATTTTAGAAGAAAAGCACGTATGTCACGTGACCGTGATTTTCTGTGGTCGGGCCATGCACCTGAGAAATGGCGAGCCCTCTCATCCGTGCCACTCTCACCTGTCGCCTGTGCCCTCTTCCAGCCCATGAAGCCTTTGAAGGCTGCGGCCACCACCTCTCAGCCAGTGCTGACAAGCCAGCAGATCGAGACCATTTTCTTCAAGGTGCCCGAGCTCTACGAGATACACAAGGACTTCTATGACGGGCTCTTCCCCCGCGTACAGCAGTGGAGTCACCAGCAGCGAGTGGGGGATCTCTTCCAGAAGCTGGTGAGTGACTCGGAACAGGTGCATGGCAGCCTCCCAGGAGTTTGCGGCTCTGCAGGGGTCAGGCCTCTCCCTTGACCTGCCGGCGTGTGTCACCAAGGGCTCTGGGACACGGAGCCCTTATTTTAAGTAGGCTCCACACCCAGCGTGGGGCTTGAACTCATGACCCCAAGATCAAGAGTCGCATACTGTACCGACTGAGCCGGCCAGGTGCCCCTGGAGAATTTTTTTTTTTTTTTTTAAGTGGCGTGGGGAGGAGAGACTTTGACAGTGACACCCTCATGCCTTGTAGGAATCAAGACTGGTTCTTACGGGCAGGTGGTTTGTGACTGCAGAGTGCGGACCCAGGCACAGCCTCGCAATGAGAGGCGGTCTGGCTCCCAAGTGGTAGGGCGCAAGGGGGCCCCCAGGTGCCCATCTCACCTGAGCTGAGGCAGCCGTATAAGGCAGGTCTTGTCCTCACCACCGTGGGGGTGAGAAGATTGAGGCACTGTGGGTCACTTGCTGGGACTGTAATCTTGGCTTATCTCTAAAAAGAGTGCTTTTCCTGCTGCCTTCAGGGGCCATAAAACTGAAGGGCACAGGTGATGCTGGCTGGATGACAGAATAAGAATTTCTGAAAGGCCTTATTGAGCCCGTCCTGACCAGGAATCTTTTTGGCAGGTGGCTGTGGGTCCCGGTTCAGGTCCCAGAGGCGGAAGCACCCTCTCTGGACAGAAGGGGCCCACTGTGAAGGCAGGTGAGGGGGCCTCTGTGGCCCTTTGCTGACCACAGGACCCAAGAGGAGTCAAGGATATGGCTTTTAAAAAGTCAGTGGTACCAATAAAACCTAGCAATCGGATGAAAGAGGTTGGCAGGCCCCTGGGCACTGGCCAGGCCACATCTGGGACAGGGATTGGCTCTTTAAAGTGCTTCTTTAACCAAGATGTGGGTCAGTTAAAACTTGTCCAACAGGAGGAAACATTTAAGGCACCCGCAGGAGGAAGGAGAAAACTCAAAAGAGAGCTGTCCGATCGACGTCTGTCTTCCAACATGCGTGGAAAGGAGCCCCCGCCTCCTTTGCAGGTCTAAAGTGTGGAGCCGGTCAGTCTCTCCAAGTGGAGGTTGTGGGAGAGGGGCGTCTGGGTAGGAGAGCCCAGGAGCTGTCCTGGGAGTGTCACTGAAGGCAGGTGCCAGGCAGGCCCCTGTGACAGAGGTTCTACCTCTGAGGATCCCTAACCTGTGTCCAGGGGGTCCGGGCCCCCTGGACACATGCTTTTGCCCTAGAGCCTGCCCTCTTCCAAGGGAAACCAGCCTCCAGGGGTAGAGGTGGCCCAGGGTCGCAGGCCTCTTCCGAATACGCAGAGCACAGCCCCCTGGGCTGCCCAGACTTCCAGCTGGCCCAGACCCAGTCCTTGCCTTGGCTCACACCTGGGTTTGAGCGTTCCACTCCAAGGTGTGGCCTTCCTCTTGGCGGTCCCCTCTCTCCACTGCCCTGGGCTGCAGACACCTTGGACTCCAGGCTGGAGCGAAGATCCAAGAAACATATGAAACTTTTCACTTTTTTTATTCAGATTCCCAAGTGAGAAGTAGGAGGCTATGTTGGTACACACCCCTCATCTTTGAAGTGCCCCTTCCCCTGTTTCTTCCTGTGTGAAGTGTCAGCAGGTTTAAACCTAGTAGATTTGGCTCAGCTTGCAGCCCTCCTGAGAATTGGAGAATCGTGTTGTTGAGAAGAAACTGCACCCAGCGCTCTTCCCCAAATAACATTCTGACATCACTCAGAAACTTCGCTTTCAAATTTTCATAGTCTGATGAACACCAGAATTTGGGAAGTTTCCTCTGGTTTCCCCGGTGTCCTTGAGCTACCTTTGTGGGTCAGACGCTGCAGCAGGACTAGGGAGAGAGGTGGGGCCGCCTCGGGAAGTCGCGCCCCAGGAACCACGTGGAGAGTGTTCATGTGCGCCGCCCAGCTGGGTGCTGGGGCTCCCCCATCCCTTTCTGACAGTGCAGCGAGGTCGACCCAGTGTCACCCCAGCCGTCACACCTCCCTTTCCCTCAGGGTTTGTGAGCCGCGTCTGGTAGCTTGCCTCCCCTTCTTGCGGGAACGTACAGGTTACGTGCCGCTTCTGGGGGTCTCTTCCTGGCTGAAATTTTGTCAGCCTGCTCTTTTGTTTTTCTAAATATTTCAGACTTCCAGAGAGGTGCACAAATAGTTCAGGAACTGCCATGTGACAGAGCCACCACTTGTAACATTTTGCCAAATTTGTTTTATCTTTTCCTCTCTCATTTTTATATACGCGTGTGCATGCATGCACACATATGTGCACTGAGTAGTTTGAAAATAACTTGCAGATAGATCTGCCCTTTTACCCCAAATACTTCATTGTGTATATGCTAAAAACAAAGGCAAGCTCTTCCATAATCTCATCGTACAATGATCACATTCAGGAACTTTCACAGTGGTGAGGCACTGTTACCTTATACGCAGTCCATATGCAAACTTCTCCCAAGTTAGCCATTGGGACATTGAATATAGCCAAAGAATATTCTTTTATTTTTTTTTTTAAGATTTATTTATTTATTTAAGAGAGAGAGCATGAGTGGGAGGGGCAGAGGGAGAGAGAATCTCAAGCAGACTCCACACTTGAGCGCAGAGCCTGACACGGGGCTCAGTCTCACGACCCTGAGATCATGACCTGAGCCGAAATCAAGAGTCGGATGCTTAACAGACGGAGCCACCCAGGCATCCCCATCACGTTCTTTATAGCCACCTTCATTGTCTGATTCAGGATCCAATCCGAGGTCACAAGATGGACTCAGTTTTCACATGTCTTTAATCTTTTTCAGTCTGTACCAGTTCCTTGGCCTTTGCTTGTCTTCCACAGCCTTGACATTTTTTTGAAGTGTACTGGCCAGTTTGGGCTTGTCTGATGTTTCCTCAGGAGTAGATTCAGGTTCTGCGTTTCTGGTGAAAACAAAACAAACCATAGCAGTGATGCTGTGTCCTCAGTGCCTCATATCAGGAGGCGCGTGATCTCCACTGATCCATTATTGGTCCGGCTCTGTTTCGGATTGGCTAAAAATGTGAGATTAGATTGCTTGGCACTTCGCATAAGCCACGTGGAAGATGCGAGCTCCTTGGGGAAAGGGAGAAGAAGTAATGGAAGGGGTTCTCCTCTCTTGGACCTCGTATCAGTTTGCTAGGGCTGCTAGTCTGGACAGCTTGTACAACAGAAATCTATTTCCTCACAGTTCTGGAGACTGGAAGTCCGAGATCAAGGTGCTGGCAGGGTTGGTCTCTCCTGAGGCCTCTCTCCTCGCAGGGGGCTGCAGTCTCCCTGTGTCTTCACGTGGGTCCCTCTGTGGGTCTGTGTCCTTATCTCTTACATTGCACTAGTCGTGCTGGATTAGGACCCACCCTAACAACTTCATTTTAGCTTCATCACCTCTTAATGCCCCATCTCTAAATATAGTCGCATTCTAAGGTGCCAGGAGTTAGGGTTTCAACATGGGAATTTCAAGGTGACGCATGTGAACAGTAATGTCCCCTCAGGGCTCCTGACCACATTATGTGAAGCAGCACCATAGCTTTTAACCCCTGCTCTGTTCTCAGACGTCTGCTGTATGACGTGTTTGTCGACTTATTTATTGTATCTCTCCTGCTCCTGGCCCCACTGTGTCTCAGGGATCTGCAACTATGCTGACGGTGCCTAAAGCAGGTCTTCATTGTGGGGGTAGGCGCTCAGTGAGCAGCAGGGGAGGGCGAGAAGGAAGTGCTCTAGGTCTGACCGTTGTCTGGATTGGTGTGTGCAGATGCAGTGACTTGTCAGGGTGATCGGTGCAGTAGGGACCAGGCGGGGCATCCATGCAGCCCCCACAGGGAGCGGAGCCAGAGACCAGACCGTGCCAAGGGCGCCTGGCTTACCCAGCATCTGGGATTGTCATCTGAAGAAACATAAAATTCAATATAAATGCAAATGCATATAGAAATAAAATTCAGATTCAGCACAGAAGAAACACCAGGATCAGCTAAAGCTTTAGGCTTCCAGCCCCTGGTCAGCTGCAATGGGAAATACTGGCTAGTGGGTCGCCGGGGTCCTCCATTGCCCTCCCCGGGCCTGGCTCTGCTGGTACAAGATGAGGGCTGGTTTCCCCTTGGCTGCCTCTGAAGGTGACCTGGGGCCCAGAGGTGGTGGCGGCTGTGTGGTACCCCCCCACACACACACACACACATCCATGGAAGTTGTCACTCAGTGGGGTATCTGATCAGGAGGTTATGTGAAGACCATCTATTAATACCTTTGGTTTGACAAAAGACAAAATGCCTCTCGCCTTGCATCTGGCAGTCAACAGGTCTCCCACACGCCAGGTGTGGAGTGTGATAGCTGGACCCCCTTGCCAGGTTTGGGCTGGGCTCATGCCTAGACAGTAGGAGCCCCTCTGCTCCAAAGGCAGCTAGATTGCATGGTCCTCATGTGTCTGAAGGGATCGGGCAAGAGCGGAGCACTGTGGCCGTCCTAGGCCGGAGGCCGACCTCCCTGTCCACTAGAGTCTCCTGCGGCCAGAATGAGAAGGTGCCACTCCATCCCACCCATGTCGACTCTTGTCTGCGTTCGCGGACAGACTTGGATTTTAGCCACTGCTGGTGGCACTGTGTATATGAATAGGGTGGGAGGAATCAGCAGCTGCGCAAGGGAGTCGTTACCTGCCGGGGGCTGTGAGTCACTTCTCAACGCGTCACTTGGAAGAGGGAAGCATGCTCAGTGCGTGGGCAGGGGAAGCAGGTGGGAGGTGACCGACCGCAAGGAGGAGCGGAGGTGATTGCAGCCCTGTGCTGTCTGCTGCACTTGTGGTTTCTCCTGGAGCTGGGCACAGAAGCCCATTTCTCGGAAAGACGGGGAGCAACAGCACCTGTCCTGCACCTGTCCCACACTCTCTCCCTTCCTCCCTGCAGGCCAGCCAGCTGGGTGTGTACCGAGCCTTTGTAGACAACTACGGAGTTGCCATGGAAACGGCTGAGAAGTGCTGTCAGGCCAACGCTCAGTTTGCAGAAATCTCTGAGGTACTCGTGACACTGTTGAGACAGGTGCACCCCTCCACCACCCCCGGGTGGGACGTGGGCCGGTCGCTGGTACGTCATGACCCGGGAGAACAAGGTGCACCAAACCAAGTTCTGGTTGAACATCTCCGCTCTGTTTCCAGATGCTTCTGGGTTGGTTCTGTCAGCCCTGTGCAGGGGACGCAGGAGGAGCCGTCCCACAGCGACCTCCCCAAGGGCCAGGGCCCAATTCTGGGGCTCTGCCGAGTGCCCCAGACAGACGCTCTCCTGCGCCATCTGTGTGCCGTAATGAGTGTCCGTAGTTCTGTCTCGTTAGCGAGGTCTGGACGTGAGAGTGCTGAGGCTGACTAGGCACCCGGTCGCTGGAAAGCAGCCGGGGAGGTGTGCTAGGGACCTCTCTTGCCGGGGAAGCTGAAGCAAGCCCCAGGCTGGAGCTCCATGAGGACTGAAACTTCAAGCCCCAGAGTGCTAGCATGAGGGGCCTCTAAAGAGCACCTCGATGCAGAGAGGACAAGCAGGCCACCCCTGGACCAGAACCTGCAGCACCCACCTCTCCAGGCCCATGGCAGGGGTTTCCCCAGCCTTCCACATCCTGTTTCTGCCCTGGGCAGTTGGGTGACATTTTCCTCTTTCGGGGCCTATCATCACTTGTGATGCCTCCAGCTTCTCAGAGCTCTGACTTGCCTTCCCTCCACCAAACAAGGATTCTGGGTGGAAAGATTCCATGAGAGAAATTAGCATACGAAAGATAACTGGAAACTAGACATAGGAAGTGAGTGGGGTCTCCCTTGCTGAGAGACGGTCATACCCCGACTGTCATACCTGGCTTTGTTCTGGGGGCTTTGTGCCATTTTGTAATTTGTCATAAGAGGTGGGGTGTCGTGGATGCTGATTGTCTCTCGTGGTGGTAATGGGTGCCATGCTGCTCCTCCAGAGCCCGTGGGGGCATGCACTCCCTGCCTGGTGCTGCTGGTAGCAGGCTACATGCACCCAGGGTTCTAGGCTGGCTCCAGACGTCCCTCCCTGTCTGCTCTGGCTTGCCTGGAGCAGTGGGCCATACCTCTTTTTAGCTCATTCACTTTAACAAGCCCCCCCACCCCTAACAGCTGGGATTTTGGTGCAGAATCCAGAGTCACCTTGACAGAGTAGAGACCTAATCCTTTAAGAGCAGGCTACAGTTAAAGGGGGCCAAGTTCAAGTCCACCCGGACAGGTTTCTATAGAGGAGGGAGGAAGCAATGGTGAGACACCACCCAGGGGTCCCGTGGTCCCTTGGGAACCTGAGCTGAGGCAGGGATGCTGGGTGGGAGACAGCTTTCAGCTGGCCCTCCGTGAAGCTTGTACCTGGAGGCGGCATCCACTTTGGTTCTCCACCCGTGTTTTTAAAGGAGACCCAAAAGATTGAAGCCACCTAGAGAGAGCAAAATGAAACCGAAGGAAACGGAAGCAGCACGTGAGAGGTTGCACACTGGGGGTCAGAGCTCAGGCATGGGGACTGGATGGTCAGGTACCTCCAGGACAGGGAGCAGTGGAGGGGTGGCCCTTCATCTGCTCCCAGTGCTGAAAATGAGCCAGGGCAGCGAGCGTCCAGTTAGACCAGAGTTGCCCAAGCTGGTTTCCGTGGAATGCCAGCTCCCACACAATAGACACTGAGAGTTCTGGCAAAAGGGCCTCTGGGGCCAAGTTGTTTGAGAACTGTAGGATTAAGCCAAATTCATAAGTTTCCTGGAGGCAGGACTGCTGGACCTACCTCTGCACGCTTGTGTGCATGACGCTGCCCAGGGGCACGTGGTAGGAGGGCTGCCTCCCAGGCTCACGGGAGCATGGAACCTGATTTTTGCCGAGACTCGTGTTCAGCTCTCACGCCCCCTCACACCCCCCACGCCCCTTGGGAACCGCTGAGGCAGATGTACAGAGGAGTAATCACTGTGAGGAGCATTAAACTCTCAAGAGAGGCACCAAAGTGCATTGTGGAGTTTGGCCCCAGTGAGCTCTACACACCATCGTTTTTTAGTTGTGAGGGGTTTACTGCAGCGCGAGAGGTTTACTGCAGCACGAGAGGTTGGGAAAGCCATCTCTGAGCCCCTTCCCATCCCCGTGCTGTTTCTTGTTGTTCAGCAGCCTGGTAGTGGGATTAACCATAGCTTCTTCCTGGAAATGATTTCAGGTACACAGGGATCTTACATCCTGGTTTCTCTTGGTACCTTGGACCCAATCGATGATGCCTTTGATGCAGTTGTGTGAAAACATGACCTACCCACTAAAAAGCTCTGCTCTCCTCCTGGGGATCATAGCGCCTGTCTGTAGTTAGAAACTACAGGCCTACCTTGCTTTATTGCACTTGCAGATACTGCATTTTTTTACAGACTGAAGGTTTGTGGCAACCGTGTGTTGAGCGAGTCTGTCGGTGCCATTTTTCCAACAGCATTTGCTCTCTCTGTCACATTTTGGTAATTCTTGCAACATTTCAAACTTTTGCATTATTATTATATTCCTGGAGATCTGTGGTGATTATGACTTGCTGAAAGCTCAGATGATAGCATTCTTTGGCAATAAAATATTTTTTAATGAAGGTAGGTACATTGTTTTCAGACGTAGTGCTATGGAACACTTAAGAGACTATAGTATACTGTAAACATAATTTTTATAGGCACTAGGAAACCAAAAAAATGCATTGGTCTCGCTTTATTGCGATATTTGCTTCATTGCGGTGGCCCAGAAGCAAACCCACAATATCTCCGAGGTGGGCCTGTACATTTGCAAAAAGTCAGGAGCGGGTGGGGTAGAGGGCGGATCCAGTGTGGGTCTCAGGGGTGGGGGGCCCGCCCAGGCCATTTCCAGAGGTGAGGGCTCTTCCAGCCCACCAGCTCCCTTGCACACTGTGTAACTTCTCTGAGAAAGCAGTTCTATGCATTTAGGAAGGACACGGTGGTTTGCCTTATTTTCATAGGATTCTGTATGTCAGAGGCTATCGACCGGGGGTGATTTTGTCCCCAGCAGACAGCCTAATAATGCCTGGGGATTTTTGATTGTCATGACAGCAGGGGGGTGCGCTGCTGCACCCGTAGGTAGAGGCCAGGAGTGCTGCTCGGTGTCCTGTGGCATACAGGACGGGCCCTCGTGGTAAGCGAAGTTCTGGCCCCGAATGTCAGCAGTCCCAGGTGAACCATGGCACCCAGGGCAGGCTTTGTGTCCCGTCCACCCTGTATTCCACGCTTTGGTCCAGGACGCCCCCTTAGACTTGTTGCCTCCTCTAAGGTTTTGTTGAGTGAGAGAAGGATGAGTTTTCTGCAGAAGGTGTCTGGCCACGGAACTTGCTGCCACATCAGCGCTGCCTCAGTTGTCCCATGTGAAAACGTGCTTTTCTCTTTGCAGAACCTGAGAGCCAGAAGCAACAAGGATGCCAAGGACCAGACGACCAAGAACTCCTTGGAAAGTGAGTTCTCTGTGCCGAGGCCTCTTTGTGCTCCCTGTGGGCGCGGCTGCTGTGAGCCGATGGGGCATTTGCTGGAAGAGCAAACACGGCACCCGGTTGGGTCACCCTCTGGTGCCTTTGCTGTTCCAGACTTCTAATAGAGCAGGGACAGGGAAAAAGCGGCACTGGGCATGGTGGGGTGGGGAAGGACGTGGTCGGGACCAGCCTGCCACCAACAGTAGCAACCAGGAAGGATGGCAGGGGTTTGCGAACACCCACAAACCAGGCACTGCCGGCCATTTAAAATGTCATCACATTGTCCCCAACGGCCCTGTAGGGAGGATTTTATTTTCCCTTTTTTCGGGTGACAAAACAGATTGGGAATGAAAGTAACTGAGCTGGAACACAGGTCCTAAGTGGCGAGGCAGGGGGAAAGTCAGAGTTGTCAGGCTCCCAGGCCCGTGTGTCCAGCCCCTTCAGTCTGGGCGGACTGAGAGGTCACTTCTCAGTTGCAGTTGTTAGGGTAGTGCGAAGAGTTACAGAGATGGCAGAGCTTCACCGTGCTCTGGGTCTCGGCTTCTCGTCTGTAAAATTGGGATAACAATGCATGTCTTACAGTAGTTGTGGGAGTCCCGTGAGGAAATGCACCTGGTGTATGTCAGGACACATCTGAGTGCCTGTGCCCGTGATGTGCTGGGCTCGCCATCCTCATGGAGGAGCAGGGGCTGCCCGGGCTGGCCAGGGCTCCCGTGCTGCTGGAGGCCAGGTGTCTGAAAACACTCATAAAGCCAGGACCTCTGTGGGCCCCTGAGTTAGTTTCTGCCATCCTCAGAGTCGGGCCTCCAAACTGCGCAGGGATGGACATCGCGAGTGATGTGCTGGTCTGCTCCCGGGAGACCCTTCAGGCCAGAGAGCAGGTCTCCTGCCACGGTTGGGACCCTTGCCAGCCCATGTGCACCAGGGTGCTGCTGGGCTCCCCACCTCCAGGGGGAGGGGCGTCAACTTGGGTTCTGACCAGTAGCTCTGTACTCAGCATTTACTGTCACAGACCAAAAGCTCAAAGCCATGTGCCCGGCCTTCTAGGTGCTCAGAGTTTGCCCTTGTCCCTGGGTATGGACATTCCCAGAGGACGTGGCAGTTGGGCCGCTCCCCCTGCCCGAGCACTTGCCAAGAGGACAGGCAGGCGGGTGGTCTGGGGCTGCCTTCTCCGTGCGTGGCCACCTCTCACCCTGGCCATCTCTCTGCAGCCCTGCTCTACAAGCCTGTGGACCGGGTGACACGCAGCACGCTGGTCCTGCATGTGAGTCACCCACCTGGGACCTTCTCACCCTGGGGTTCTTGGCTTCTGATGTTCGTCAGTGTTGCCTGCCCCTTTCCCCCTGTTCCTGCCACACACCTTTATTGAAGATGCAGAAATGAGAGGCTCACACAGGGGTGAGGGGAGAACAAAGCAGGTTCTCGAGGTGTCCTGGGTGCTCTTGGAGGGGGAGGTACCGGGAGGGAGCGTCCTGTCCCACCTAAGAAGGGCCTCCAAGGTAGACGGAGTGGGGGCACAGAGAGCAGGTGCCTTCCATGGCTTTGAGGATGACCCACTGCCTCCCAGCCTGGGGAGAGGGAGCATGGGGAGGGCCCGCCTCAGTGGGGCTGCTCCTGAAGACAGCAGGGAAAACGAAACTGGCCCCTAGTCCTACTGCCCATGTGACCCTGTTCACTTACATTTAGAGCAAGTTGTAAATGCATTTTTTTTTTTTAATTTACAGCCAAGTCACAGAAGTGTGTGGTTTCCATTTCCTTCCCTGCTTCCTCCCCACCACCACCACAAGTATTCTTTTATGCACACGCCAACATACGTGAGAGTCTTTTTTGATTACGCAGAAGGCATCATGCTATATGTATCATTCCACACTTTGCCTTTTTTCCCCTTAATATGATGCAGTGGAGATTGTCCCACTTCAGCCCAAACAACTCTGCCCCATAGTATTTAAGCTGTGTAGTATTCTGTCGAGTGCACGTTTCTTAAATTTTTTTTTTTTTAAAGATTTTATTTATTTGACAGAGAGAGAGAGGGAACACAAGCAGGGGGAGTGGGAGAGGGAGAAGCAGGCTTCCCGCCGA